CAAGCCTTTTGAAATGTGTTAACCATATGCAGTGATTTCAACTCCTCATTTGGTAATGTGCACAAAAGAGCAAAGATTGTATTGATTTTGCACAGTTGGTACTTTTAGTTAAATAGGCTCAATTAATTCAGGATGCACCACTCCAGAGTTCTTCAGTGTATTGTTTTGTTAGATTTATATCCCATCTTTCATTCCAATTCTTTCTTCATTTTATTCCTACAAAGGCCATCTTGCAAAATAGTTGGACTGGGAGAAATGAGTGGCTCAATGTCACACAACGTCATAACTGCTAGTGATCCTGAACCTGCGAACTCTGGGTTCTGATCAAACCTTTTAACCAATATACTACAATTTTAGTTATTAAAATATTTTTCCCCAGTCAGGCATCTCCTGTTGTTGTTGGGTGTTAGAGGATTTTAGTATGCCGCAGAAAGTTTTTTCAGATAGTAGGTGAGGGAATTCATGATATAGAGCCGGTCTACAGGGTTACTGTGGAACATTCCCTTAGCTTTTTATCCTGGTGTGGCACCAAAATGGGTGGTGGCAATCCTAGTGATGAGCAGAGAGCAGCCCTCATGGTGTGCTCAACTAGGCAGCTGGAACATGTCAGGCAGCCAGTGGAGGTTTGATGGTCTGGAGCGACAATGACACAGCACCTGTAGAGAACCATCAGCAGTGCAGCAACACTGCTGAACGCATGTTTTTCGACTGGAGTTATAGGGACTGGGAGGAAGCCAGCTAAGGACTAGTAGACAAGTACCATATCAGCAGCAATACCAACTGGATGTTTTTGTGGGAGGCCATCCTTGGAACTATGGTACAGTACTAAATAATGTTCATTTAGTCTCTAAACTTTCCTTTCTGACAAAGGTCATTGAGAAAGTGATAGATCAAGGTCCTGGTTGTCATTTTTCAAGCTCTACATGAGATGGGGCCAAGTTACTTGTAGGACTGCCTTTCCAAATATTTCTGCCTCCCATTGAGGCAGTATCACTTGGTGCAGGGGTAGGCAACCTTAGCTCTTTTATGGCTCAGGAATTCTGGGAGTTGAAGTCCACAAGTCATAAAAGAGCCAAGGTTGCTTACCCCTGACTTGGTGGGTACTCAGAAAACTGCCTCCTTTCCCATGGCACCTGTCTTGTAGATAAAATATTGTCCTTGAGATATGGGCAACCTTCACAGGGCTGTGAAGACCTGGTTATTCTCCCAGGCCTTGGAGATCTGATATGGGTGAGGTGCATTTGCTCAGGAGATCACTACCACTTATGCTTTGGATTGTGTTTCTGTTTCGTTTTTAACTGTCCAACACCCAAAGTGCCTTTGGTAGATGGGCAGCCATATAAGTATGTTCAATAAATAACTAAATATTGGTGTTTCTTATTTACATCAGTATGTTGATCTTTGTGAGGGCAATAAATTTCATGAAATATTTGAGCAGAGGTTGGTCTGTTTGATTTCAAGGCTAATGGTAACACTGCAGCAGTTTATAATAAAAAAAGGAGATTTGGGGCAGCTGATTTTGGGAGCTGGTTTCCATAGAAGCAGCTCCAAACGGTATGTGTCTATTACTGAAATCCATAATTAACTAACTGAACACAAACATGGGGGAGGGGGACTCTTTATGTTTCTGTTCTGCCAATAATTGTTTTAGGTTACTTAGCACTTCTTTAAAAATTCTGTTTACTTCAGTTGCAAACTCTGTGCTTTTAAAAAAAAAATGAATCAGATTTAAGCTTTAGATCTGTCAGAATCTATATTACAATTGGAATTCTTGGAGAATAGCTATTAACGTCACTGTCCTTTAAAAAAAAGGCGGGGGGAGTCTGGAGCAGGAAGCAAGGAATCCAGGACCAGTTAGTGTAGGAGATGACCAGGCTGAGCCCGAGGGAGGGGTCAAACATGTCACAAGTCATGAGTCCCTGCACCCCCACAAGAGATCTAAATCCAGCCCACCTTGAATGCCTTTCTTATCTACCATTAATTTCCCTCAACCTTAGTTGGTCAGATTCTTGTAGAGAGCTTAAGTTTGCAACAAATCTTTATACTCATTTGAGCTGTCTGGATCTCTTGATTTCCCCAACGCTTGACAGATAGTATCATTTTGTAAGCATATGTCATATGTGACCAACTGCCCAGCATAAGAAGCAGGCTTGAAACAATTCGTTACAAAAGACCAGGGAAAAGAACCTCAGCCTTTAAGCTGTTATATATCTGATTGTTAGCCTTTGTTAGAAGTTTATGATGTACTAAAGTTGATGCTTTCTGTGTAAAGCTCCTTATCTTGAAAGCCATTCTTGACTTCCCACAAAAGCATCTCATTCCTAGAGACCTGTAATCTCTAGATTTTCTAGAAGCAATCCTTCGTAATTATAATTTTTGCTCCCACTATGCTGCTGAAAAGAAAAAAGCTTAGAATAATGAGACAGAATAATTGTGCAATGAGATTTTTCTCCCACTGTAATTCCTGGCCTTCCAGAGAACTGATTTTGATAAAGGGGGAAACTTAAGAGGGTATTTTACTACTGAATTGTTCTGACAGCAGAATGATTTAGTTAGATTCTGTATGTAGCAGATTGGCTCAGCCTATAGAGTGGCATTTTGGTGTCTCAAACCTCCTTTGGAAGCCCTCTGAATATTCCCCCCTTGTTCTGGCTCCTGCTGGGGGTTGGTTAAATACCACCTGCCTTTCCTGACATCCTTCCCCTTATCCTGATATGGGTGGAAGATCTGGCTCTCACAGCCTGTGCTGTCCAGTTGACAATGAAAAGGTACTAATGAAAAAAGGCTGTAATGCAAACTCTGGCAATGACTAGAGAATTTAACTCTTCCTTGGGAAATAAACCGATTTCACAAGTCATGAGCAAAATCAAACTTCTAAAATGCAGAAATCCCTACTTACATAATAAAATGCAAGCAGTCAGGGTGAGTAAAGAGAAACTATAGAATAGATAATGTGATGCACTGGACAGATCACAAGGTGATGCTTGTAAGGGCCTGTGGGAATAACCTTGAGCAAGAGGAGGAAGAGCTGCAACCAAGGCAATGGGTCAAGTAAGAGTCCAAAGGAGGAATGGAATTTGAGCAAGCATCTTAGACGGGGCCTTCCTCTTTAGGATAAAGGCATGGAAGGGAGAGGCACATTTAGAGTTGCAAGAGTCTATTACTGTAACCCAGGGGTCTTCAAACTTGTGGACTTCAACTCCCAGAATTCCTGAACCAGCACGGCTGGCCAAGTTTGAAGACCCCTGCTGTAACCCTATAATAAAAGTAGTTTTAATCTACATGACTTTGGTATTCAAGTCTGACCTACCTTGAAGAGCCGACAGCACTGGTCTAGTGCAAATTCTCTCCTAAGGCATTTGAAACAGGAGTCAAATTATCCCCCCAAAAATATATATTTTAATATAATTAATAACCCTGTACACCTTGTCTGAGTTTGATGTATGTTGGACATAAAAGCTCAGATTTATAATTAGAAGAGAAATGGAAAAACCACACAATAAAAAAACAACACTGTAATATGGAATCCTACTACCGGTAATTATTTTTACCTATGCCTACAGAAATAAACTACTGTTGTCCGTTTTAAATTACCTGGCTTTTCTTCACATTCCTGGAGATTCCAAAATATAATCAGAAACTGGGGAGAACAAGTGTTAGTTATTGGCTTTTCCCAACCCAGTTCCCAGCTTCTGCTCTTTTTTTTTATTTTTCATTTTTAAAAAACTTCTTTATTTATGGAAAGGAAGGCATAGATCTCCTTTGTGAACGTAGATTGTGTTTGAAATGAGGGAACATATATTCTGTCTCGGCTTGCCGCTATTGCCACCTACAGTCGCAATTCCATGGAAGCTTGAGAATGTTAACAAGGCTTTAAAATCTGTGGAGTTATGAGGATGTAATACAAGGTAGCCTCCTCCTCAGGGAACCAGATTAGCTATAGGTCATCCAAACCACCTAGTTGGGCTATATTGCATAATTAAATGCACCTAGTTGGGCTATATTCTCATCTTTCCTATTACCTATTTCCTTAGCTTCTTATGATTGCAACTTTGTTGTTTGTATCTTATGATTTATGTTGTTTTTATTTAGTATCCTATTATGATTTATGTTGATTGCTTATTTAGTATCCTATGACTATCACTGGGTGTTGTATTATGATTTATGATGATTGTATTTTATGATTATGATCATGATTTATCACTTGTTGCTTGTATGTACACTGAGAGCCTATGCACTGGAGACAAATTCCTTGCGTGTCCAATCACACTTGACCAGTAAAGAATTCTGTTCTGTTCTGTTCTATTTGTTTCTGTTTCTCTTCTGTTCTGTTCTGTTCTATTCGTTTCTGTTTATGTTCTGTTCTATTCTGCATGTACAACTGGTAACACGTGATTTGCTATTTGAGAATGGCCCACAGTAGCTTGTTTGTTGCAAACTTTTTTCATATCTTAAAATAATGAATAAAGGCTTCAGAAAGATAAATGATATATTTTTGTCAGATTCTTTAAGTCTGACTAGAAGCACTAAAAGAAGCTAATTTCAATAAAATGCAGAAATATGGAATGTTACTGAGCTTTGAGAATGCAAGATCCATTTTGTTTTATTAAACTTACTATGCTGCTCATTTTTGAGTTTTTGTGGGGGGGCTTAAAATAAATGTAGAGTTTTGTTCACATACTTACAGATAATCCTGTCTCCTTATTGTCGCCCAAAGAAATAAATAAAAAGTTCCAGATTCCAGAACAGGATGACTTCAGTGAATCTTTTTAATGGAGTTTTTCTCTGTCAGTATTGGTGGCTGCTATGATGATTAATGTTGAAGGGTCTTGGTGATACCAGATTTAAAGTCTAGACATTCTTTCATAAAATAGATAAAAAATGTGCACGTTGCTAGTGTCACACTTTAATTATATTAAATATTCTGGGATAACTAACAAAGTGATTCAAACCTAAGTTGAATCCCTAATAAAACTGATTTCTTACTGCTTTTTGTTCAGGACCGCCAGTAGAGGGGACTTCGTATTTTCTGCTGATCGCTTGGTAAGCCATATTTTTCATGTTGTGCTCATTAATGAAGGTATTATTAGCATGACTTCATCTTTAAACTTATAGATTATTTAAAAATCAGTCATTGACATTAATGGTATAGTTATATTATTATGTTGTTTTCACATTGTCCCATTCCCCATTTATGTCAGGCATGGTTTAGGGCAGGGGTCCCCAACCCCTGGTCTGTGGACCGGTAGCGGGCCCTGGCATGCCAGCAACCGGACTGCACAAAGAAGCAAAGCCCCATCTGTGGGATGCAGGCAGCACACAAAACCATGCCCCCTCCGGTGCGCGGAAAAACTTCTCTCCACGGAACTGGTCCCTGGTGCCCAAAAGGCTGGGGGCCTCTGGTTTAGGGTGCTTCTGGATTGAAATAATTAGCTGGCGACATCACTGTTGCCAGGGGACACCCGTAGGGGCTGCTTTAATGTCCCCATCAAGGAGCTGGAGCAAATGATGGGAACTCACCCCGCCATGCAGCAGCATTCAGGTCTCAAACGTGGGCTTGCTAACCTCCGACCTGGGGTCTTAAACACGTGAGCAACCACGCTCATTTTTATATTGCAATTCCATCAAAGCTCAGTGAGATTTATTAATGTAAAATTTGAATTCAAAGTTAAATATTATGTTTTAAAAATAGAATTTTATTTTCCCAGCGGCAAGATATATTTGCTTGTTTTACAAGTAAAATATTTCCACATAACAATTTAAACATAAATCTTTAGGATATATATTCAAGAATACATAACAGATTCTGAATCAATTGGTGTTTTTACTTAATATAACCAATCTTAAAGTATTGGACAGTTATTATTGTATTTTTCAATGCCAGTTTTCTTGGAAATACCTATTTATCTGGAATCTATATATTTTTCTCCATTTGATAAATAGCACTAGTTGATTCATGCAGATGGTTCCTCTGTGAATACAATTGAACGTGCTAAAAGTCATCATTCAAACATGTCTTTTGGAAATCTTGTTTTATTGCCTTTTGAAAGATTCTAGAATCAAAGAGTTAAATAAATAAATGCTGTTGTTTTTATTGGTTCAGCAGTAATGCCAATAAATGTGGAGCGAATCCTCCAAGATATTCTCTATTTATTCACCATTGTGGCTGTCCTATGCAGTTAGACCTCAACTTGTGACTGTTTGTTCAATGACTGCAGGGCACAAAGCAGCTGGTTCCAAAGGCCAGGAGACACCAAGAGTGGGAAGCAGCCTCCCCCCAGCCTCTAATGCCTGGGAAGCTCCAGCCCAGCCGCCCGCCCTGCCCTGCCCTGGGCCCTGTGACTTTCACTGTTTTCTTCCTCCCACGAGGCGGCTCAGCCTGACGCTTTACCAAGAAGAAAAAGGCAGCCACTCAGCTGCAGTGTCTTAAAATGCCCTTTCCCCATTTTCCTGCGTGGGGCTGGAGGACTACAGATGGCTTCCTGGTGAAAGAAGAAGGGGGGGGGGGAAGAGCTGTCCTCACTTTCCCACAGCTGCGTGAACCACCTTCAGTTCCAAAATCAAAAATTTAGCCCTTTTCCCTTCTTTTTCTTTGCAAAGGGCCAGACTGGGCATGCCTCGTAAGCTCAGTTAGTTTTAGTTATAGCTTTAAGAGCTTTGGGCTTAATGTTCGTGAGTTAAAACCATCAAGGCCGCCACGTGCCCAGAAGAGATCAGCTTCAATAGAAACGGCTCCTGTGATCATGTGGCATAAATGCGAGTCAGTTACCAGATGCCCAAGATGCGCTGACATGACTACGACTGCCGGGTGAGGGCAACATTTTCCGATGATTGGAAATGCTTAATGGCCATAAAGCACCTTTCCTGAGGCTTTTGTAATGGTCATTAAACAATTGGTAGTAAGTGGAGGACTCCCTGTAAGTTTACTTTAGATTAAGGAGGAAACAAATTCTGCTTACTATAAAAGTGAGAAATGCTTTTATTGAAACTTTGGTTTTGCTGTGATTATTTGAATTTTGCCTCTTGCAGATCAGACTGGTGGTTGAGGAAGGATTAAACCGGCTACCATACACAGAATGCACAGTGACCACTCCAACAGGTAAAAGAAGGCAGAAGCTCCCCAAGTGTGGGGGTGTCCCAGGCCAAATTATATACGGGTAGTCCTTGGTTAATGACTGCTTGTTCCAGTGGTGCTGAATGAGGAGACGTGTCTGGTCCTTGAAGTTGCGGCCATTGCAGAGTTCCCACAATCATGGGTTGCAGTTCAGGTGCTTGGCAACTGGCAGGCTGTTGCAGCACCCTACAGTCACGTGATCACCATTTGCAATCCTCACTACAGGTTTCAGACAAGCAAAGTGGCAAAGCTGGCAGAAGGTTGCAAATGGCGATCACGTGACATCACGCTTAAACCACCTCAAGACTGGACTTGCCATCAGAAGTGGATGCAGCCATGTGCTGTTGTACGTTATGACCCTATCATTTAGCAATGGAGTTCCTGGTGCCAAGTACTGTTGCTAACCAAGGACGAACTATATTTAGCACAAGGCTAAAAAAAATAGCAGATACGGTATCTTAACAGTTAGCATAAATAAAGTATTAAACAAAACATGGAATACTTTCTAGCAGTAATGTTAAATAACATTCTCAAAAGATTGCTGTCCTTGTCTGATTTTTGTTGTCCCAGGCATCAAAGAACAGCAAAAATTTATGTAGGACTAGTAGATTTCTAAAGAGATCGCATTTGTGAATTGCCTTAAAATTATAAAGACTAAATAACATTCTGATGTAAATACATACTCTTGTAAACCCTTCCTGTCCAATCTCTGTTATTGTATTTTTCAACAACAAAACAGGTCAGACATAGAACAATGTGCACTGATTATAATGGTGACCCTGTGACTGAGAGATGCTGTGTTTCCAGCTGATTGGAACGTTGCAGTATTGTGCATCTCACCCTAGATTTCATTCAAGTGGGTCTGAGAAATGTTGCAACTATAATTAACTAGCAAGGAGATGATACATTCACTTATTTTGTATCAATATGTCCTTCTATTATAGTTTGTTTGAGAGCTTTTATGTAAGCAAGAGCTTTATATTTTCTGATTCATAGATTAGATCCAGGTAGAATCAGTTGGCAATAAGGTTGCGTTTATTTTATATCTTGTTAACGGTAAAGGTGAAAATAAAAGCCCTTTTAGGTAGAGCACTCTTCCTGGAGATTTCTCGATTTCTTGGAAACCATGTAGCTTTGCAGTTACCCATTTCTCTAATAGTATTTTGACTTCTCAGCCTGGTATACAAGCCTGGGGTTTCCTAGAGATCTTTCATACAGATATGGATAGGTTCAAATTGGCTATGTGTTGTGTTTTTGTTTTTTTTTGTTCCTGCTGTGGCCAGGTATTAATTAGCTTCAGATGTTCAAAATCATAAACTATATTTCTAAGCAAGAAGCACTGTTACATTCAATCAGTTGGCTTTTCATTCTGGCAGAAATGGCTGAACCAGCTGCATTCTCTAGCCAGAGTCTACAGTATATGACTGGAACAATAGTCTGTAAATAAATAGAGTTGTCTGTAAAGTCTGTAAATAAATAGAGTTGTTCCCTTAATTTTGCCTGGATTTTTGCTCAATGCATTAGCCTAAAATAGCTTTCTTGACCTGATTTGTTCCTACATGCAGGCTACAGTTTTGCAGAGCAAACCTCCTGGAAAGCTGGGGAGGGCTTTAGGAAACAAGTCAGGGAGCTTCCATACCGTAGTTAATTTGGTACTACTTTGCAGATGTGACTAGATTCTTTCCTCAGATTTCTGACTTGGAGTCAGAATATGAAAGACACACACAACTAATTATTCAACAACAGCAACTCAGCGAGTTTTTCTTTCTCTGTGTGTATCCCCAAAAAAGTATGGACTAAACTTCAACACTTAAAAAGAAATATCTGTAAACTTTTGCAATGAAAGTGCATTTTAAGTTAAATTTTATTTATTTATGGTCACTGAAGGTCAACCATTGCAGTATTCTCCTTTCTGTGACTGGTTAGTTCCAAATTTACAGGACCTCGTGTTTTCTTATTTAAACATGTCATTGCAGTAAAAGCTGTCTGGGAAATGAAGTTATTAGGTTTACTATTGAATAACATGAAGAATACCAACTCCTGGAGAAACTTCTTTGTTCTTATAAGAATAAAGAATTCTTTATAAGAATATAAGGAATATGTATGTCTTTTCAACAGGGTACAAATATGAAGGAGTGAAATTTGAAAAGGGAAACTGTGGAGTCAGCATAATGAGAAGTGGTAGGTCACTTACAATTTTCTTGTGTGCTTGTTAGTTTTTCTTATTATTAATCATACATCACATCATCGATAATGCCAGAATGCAGATTGGAAAATAATGCACAGAACTCACTTGTGTAAGATAGTCAATCACATTTAGGAAAATAGCATAGAATTACAAGGAAGAGAGTACAAATACCAGTTTTAAAGCTAGTAATCTACTTGTCCTTCTTGGCTGCATAACATTTTCCTATTTTCCTCTCCCAATGAAGGGGAGGCGATGGAACAGGGCTTGCGCGATTGCTGCAGATCTATACGGATAGGGAAGATCCTGATCCAGAGCGACGAGGAGACCCAGAGAGCCAAAGTATACTATGCAAAATTTCCACCAGACATCTACAGAAGAAAAGTCCTCCTCATGTACCCCATTCTGAGTGAGTGTTTTAAAGGCGGTATTAGAAGCTGTGTGGGCTGCAGAGTGCTCAGTTGGAACATAGATAAGTCAGTGAGGACAGCTTGTGAGCCACAAAATAGTTTCATGCTTTGCTGGAAGGTCTATTCATTGATCTAACTGAGCTGGTAAAACATTGATCCTAGGCTGCACATACTGAGTAAGAGGTATCTAATAATATAAAATGAATAATGGGAGTTTGCTAATGTAATTTAAGTAATGGCATGACTGTGTAGAATCCCACAGATTTTTAAATCTTCATGAAATACTTAGTAATTGACTATTTCTTTCCAAGTTCCAAACTATTCAGCCAAATACTTTGTAGAAGTTTCTTAAAAAGAATTGGGAATAGATTGTGCCACAATTAGACACTAACTCCAATTGTAATCATACTGAAAGGAAAGATGACTCTGACACACACATTTGAAAAGACAGTTGGATAATTCACCTCTGCTTTCTTCCCTCTCTTTCTACTCCTCTCCCCCCACCCATTTATAAGGCACCGGCAACACTGTGATCGAGGCCGTAAAGGTCCTCATAGAACACGGGGTTCAGCCCAATGTTATAATCCTGCTGAGTCTATTCTCTACCCCCCATGGTAAGTTCAAACTATGACCAAGTCATAAAAATAAGGGTATTTGTGAGAAAGAGTTTAGCTCTCTTGTCATATAAGGGGATACCTACACATGCTGGAAATGAACAGAGAAATTAATTACAGGCTATATGCAGCCACGTAGTTGATTTCTTTAAAAAGTGAAGACAGAACGTTTCAGCATAGATGTACAACTAAACAAATATGTAAAACTAAGGAGAACGTGATAAAACAATTGGTTACATGGAGAAACGTAATCTTAACCCTTCTGGTGCAAGATTTTGAAACACAGACTGCCTTTGGTGTACCTTAGAAAAGCCACTGATGTGATCATCTTCAAAATATTGTAGATACAAATTGAGATGGAATGAGTAATTATGAATATAATACATAAACATTTGAAAAGATTTTCAGCATTCCTATGTAGCAAAATCCTTTCATGTTAGAAAAGCCAGATTAAATGAAAGAAAATTTGTGTGTATGTGCTTGATGCCTATGAGGACACATCTGAGTTTTTTTTATGCAAATAAGAATATTCTAGACGGCGTCATTTCTGTATTATAGAATTCCTTATTGACAGCTGCAGAAATTGTCACATGTAAGCTGACATATAGAAATTAACTATTATGTCCAAAGAGAATACAACTGTTGAATTCACAAAATACTGGGAAAGGAAAAAAAAAAGTCAACTGATGATTAAAGCTTGTAATAATTGGGTAAAAAGGGCACATTCCAGAAGTGGAAAATCAATGTCGCTACATATATAATATACAGTTTTCTTTTTTTTAAAGGTGCCAAATCAATAATCCAGGAATTTCCAGATATCACAATTTTAACAACAGAGGTTCATCCAGTTGCACCTACACATTTTGGGCAGAAGTATTTTGGAACAGACTGAAGTACTTAACCAATTTGTGTTTTGTTACTGTAAGATATTATATCATTTTTCTACATTTTATAATTTGAAGTGGAGGTATCTATGGGAATATTTAACATCTTTGTTTTTCTTTTTTTTGTCCAAAGGTGGAAATAGTTGACCTGCACTAATTTTTTATTTAAATGGATAGATACTTGATCTTAAGTCTAGTTTTTGTTTTAATGATGAGTCGGGGCAATGACGCAGACCACAGACGTCTAATATTGGGTTATTCAAATTGCTGCCCTCTACTTTATTTATTCTTTGTAGCCAATTTGGCTGATTGCGACGGCAAAATAAACTAACTGTGAAAACACCATTGTCTGTATCTTTTATTGTTTTTATACCGCAACTGGACCTTTTTCTGAAACGGATTTTTCGCTAGAAGCGATTGACACATTTGTGCCAGTCTTTGGATGCAATTTTAGTTTTTGTAGATTGCATTCTCAAGCTATATAGAAGTTTTGTGACTGTAACAAAGATGTATAAACAAAATGCAGGCATAATTCAAAAGATGGTGTGCGCAAAATATTACACTGCTCACACTTTGCTGCCATCTTGTGGTTGCCCAGATTTTTATACCACAGGTCAGCTAGTTTTCTTTTGATAGTAAATCTCACTGAATTTTAAATTAAATACAATTAATAATACAAATGAGAAGAATTAAAGACAAAATTAATGTTTCATTTCATTACAGGTGACTTGTACCCAATTTTAAAGCAAACCATTTCAGAAAGATCATTGCTGTATATTGAAAACAGCCATTATGGGTCACTGTCCGGATAATATTTTTAGCTTGGCTATGATATATCAGTAATTGTCTCCTGGTTGCTAATCAGCTGGTACCCTAGAACTACAAATTATTTGCATTTTTTTTTTCAAAAAACAAACAGTAATGTTCTAGTTCTGTTAACCTTCATTTTTCTGTTCATCAGACCTAAGGATGTTTATTTTTATTTCTTTAAGAGCAAGTTTCTGCTTCTTACATTTTAAGTATATAGGACATCCTGCTATAACCTTAAGCTTGGAGATGGTTGGATAAGATGTTGGAAACTGAGTCTGTGACTAAGCTAAATCATAATGGCAGATTACATCTTGCAAAACCAGAGAAATAAACTAATCCAGTCTGGAGTCCTGGTATTTGAATTTAAAAAAATGCAGCATTACACAATAAATTTTAACATATTTAAATATTCAAATGTGATTCTACAAAACATTTTTATTGTAAAATATTTCCATGCTTCAGACTGCTAACACGATCACAAACATACCGTTTTCAGTTAATGAACCTGAGATAATGTAACCATTAAACATTCAGGAGACTCAACATTAACAGCAGAATATTTTACAACCAAGAGATTCTGAGAATCCTTAGGAATGATTATGCTCCACTATACTGGACTTAAGGAATCCATTTCGTAGGTTTCTGATTATAAAATCAAATGGGGAAATCTGCACTTCGATATATCATCAATGAAACAACTGTATCTTGATTATACAATACCAAAGAGAAACCCAGGAAGGAATTACTATAGATCAGGGTTAGGCAACCTTGGCTCTTTTATGACTCGTGGACTTCAACTCCCAGAATCCCTGAGCCAGCATAGCTGGCTCAGGAATTCTGGGAGTTGAAGTCCACAAGTCATAAAAGAGCCAAGGTTGCCTACCCCTGCTGTAGTGAACAAAATATTTAAATGTATAAAATAAAGGGCCATGCAATTTGCTGCCACCCCTAAGATTATTAATCAGTAATATCCAAACTAAAGGTTAATGTGATTTTACAAAATCCCTCTGATTTAAAAAAGAAAAAGACTCAGCAAAGTATTTTGCAAAAGTGCAGCCAAATCAATAGCTGCTGGTGGTTTATGTCACTGTTTAAAGGATCCGTCCATTCTCTACCTATCCACGTGTAGTCTTTCACTGAGTAATCTTTCCTCCCTCCCAGAGGAAGTCACTCTTATCTTATTTAAACCGCTCTTACAAGCTCAGAGAAAGAATTGAATTATAACTGCAATGTATTAAGTGTGAAGTATTTCTGAGAAATAACGTATCTTTGAGCGAATCCTCTACCTCAAATGTTTGATTTTCATTTTAAGCCAATAAGGGACTCCTCTACGACTCTGCTATAGGAAACACAATCAACTTTTAGCATTCTACAAAGTCAGCTCTATTCCTCCATCAGCCCTGACCACTACAAACACATCCTTTCTCTTAATATAGGAATGCACTGATCAATGTTTTTATGTAGGTCCTGGTATACTTGTTTTATTGTGCTGGAAAGCAAGCAGTGCAACTGACAAAACACCAAAGCACTTTTGTTCGTACTGGTGCATTATTACAAGGCAGACATTTCAAGAAGCAGAGCTAAAGCAGCTTCCGTGGTATTCACAGTCCTGTTCTGCATACTTTAATTGTTGATGGGTCATAGATAGATGGGGGAGGGCAGTTATATTAGATCTCCCCAAAAGTTGAGAAGGGGGTACATAGGATACTGCAGTGTTTCTTAACCTTGGCTGCTGGAAGAAGGCTGGCTGGGGAATTCTGGGACTTGAAGTCCACTCATCTTCCTAGCTGCCAAGGTTGAGAAACACTGAGATATTGTATGTCCCTATCTCTAGTATACTTTTTCCCAACCAGGTGAGGAGAAAGGAATGGTATGTGTAACACATTCAATTGTCATAGATACATCATGGTCCTGTCTTGTTACAAGTAGAGTAAGTTGTGCTTTCAGTTGTGCACCACACCTTACATGAGAAACAGTTATAGGCTGGGGCCAAATAAACATTTCTTAACATTGTGCTAGCTGATTCTTACACTATACCGGCATGCAACACCTATTTTATTCAACAATTCTGATGTTCTCCAGAATCAAGCTTTACAGAAGGCCAAATTTTTAAACACAGATTTCCTACCTAACTACATCTGTCTCGCTGTCCTTAGTAAACATCAATGTGATGCTTTCAGTTTTGTGGTGAGAATGGGATGCACACTCTGCAAAAATCGTCAGGTGGATTTCCGCTGCTCCATTTTCTCAGGAAGACATTTTATGCCCAGGAATATGTGGGTCAATGTGGAACCATGGAAGCCTTTGAGAGGTTTCTGAAATTGGGATGTTCCAGCATGGAAAAATTCCGCATACATCAACGCCAACCAGTTCCATGAATAATGCTGCACAAAATGCAAATTTTATAGTTCCAGTATACAAATGTTATTTTGTTCCACAATGTCAAGACTTCTCACAATGAAGTACTTCTCACAATCAAGTCACAATCCTAAGTTACATTTAGATTGATGAAAATGTATGGCATCTTGCACAACTGTGACTGCTTTAAAAATGGCTGGAATAATATATGAAAAGTACACCTTGTTGGTTGTAACCACAAAACTAATAATTAAAACAATAGGAATCTCGAGACAAGCATTACAATATTGGATGATAATTCAAATGCTATAGAACAGTGATGGCGAACCTTTTAGAGACCGAGTGCCCAAACTGCAATCCAAAACCCACTTATGCATCGTCGGGTGCCGGGTGGGCGTGGCCCATTGGGTGGGCATGGCTGCAGTGGTAACGGCAGACTGGGTGGGACTAAAAAGTTCAATCAATCAATTCCAATTTTGCAAGATCTTTTTTTTTCCCCGCGAGAAGCTGAAATTGACTGATTGAACCTTTTTTTTTTTTTTTGCACACGGCGGCGGAGGCCTAAAGCGAAAAAGTTTTATAAAACCCAGCTGAAGGCCCAGGACTGGGGCGACGGCACGCATGCCCACAGAGAGGGCTCTGAGTGCCACCTCTGGCACCCTTGCCATAGGTTCGCCACCACTGCTATAGAACAATGTTTCTCAATCTTAGCTGCTTTAAGGTGGGTGGACTTCAACTCCCAGAATTCCCCAGCCAGCTGAGAGTTGAAGTCCACCCACCTTAAAGCGGCTAAGGTTGAGAAACACTGCTATAGAATACCATCAAATTCCTTACGTAGCCATTCAAAGCCTTTAATTTCTTCCTGCTGTGCCTCAAATACTCAGAATATGTTTGCAAAGGGTCTGTTATTACCCTTCCTACTTCTGAATTTCAGCTGGTCCCAAGGGATCATAAAAAAGGCTAACTAGATTATTAAATACTAATTATAATATTTCTAGGCAGAACTCTGCCACAAATGATTTGGTCCGTGTCCTCCTTTAACAGGCAGACTGTTGTGTGCTATCCAGAGTCATTGGGAATCGGGCAGCATAAACATTTAATGACTATATATTATCTAAAATGAGAAGGAGATACTGTCTGCTCTTCAGGACACTTGCTTTAATTGTTACAGGGTGTCTCCTGTGTCCTCATGTGAGTACATGAAAACTAGAATGAAATTCAGCAACTGGATAATGACTGAAAGTGGCAATACTGGTTGGTACAAAATATTCCAGCACACTTTTTTGCCCCATTTTACGACTTTTCTTGCTACGTTTGTTAAGTGAATCACTGCGGTTGTTAAATTAGTAGCCTGGTTGTTAAGTGAATCTGGCTTCCCCATTGACTTTGCTTGTCAGAAGGTCGCAAAGGGGATCACAGGACCCCTGGAACACTGCGACCGTCATAAATATGAACCAGTTGCCAAGCATCCGAATGTAAATCACGTGACCCTGGGGACGCTGCAACGATCATAAGTGTAAAAAAATTGTCCTACGTCCCTTTTTTCAGTGCCGTTGTAACTCCGAACGGTCATTAAATGAACTGTTGTAAGTCGAGGACTACCTGTACTGCATTTGATAGTTAAGCATTCAATGTACAGTATTTGTGCAACCATGAAGATGGGTTAATTTGGTAATCAAATGCATAAAGATGCAGCACTATTAGTAGAGGACTCTGGATCCCTAATCCACCCATTGGGGGTGAAATACCCCCCCCCAACTTGTGGAACCCCTTTTACAATTATGCTTTGCAGGGATGAGCATTAGGAGGCCTTTGATTCTGAGGAATCATTGGGGCCGAAGTCTTCCTAACCTGATTTAACAAGCCACAAATCAGCCGGTAGAACGTTTCTAAAGATAATTTTGGTCACCTGATCACATCTAATTTTATTAAATTAAGCTGTCCTTCCCCCAACCCAAAATTATTTAAAAATATAATTCACATGTATTCCATTTGTGCTGTTTCAAACTCAACAGCTGCCCAGCTCCCAAGGAAGCTGTCGGGGAACAGGAGTCCCAGCTGGAGGAGAATTTGGGAGAGGCTGCTAAGAGAAGTCTTAAGGGCTTCCCTGCATAGAACAGATTGGATGAGTTATAATAGCTGCACAGAGTTGTTGTTGTTTTACTCCCAATAGTTTA